CCATCTCGGCTCACCGCCACCTCTGCTTCCTGGGTTCAGGCAATTCTCCTGCCTCAGCCTCCTGAGTAGCTGGGGTTACAGGCATGTGCCACCATGCCCAGCTAATTTTTTCTAGTTTTAGTAGAGATGGGGTTTCACCATGTTGACCAGGATGGTCCACTCGCCTCAGCCTCCCAAAGTGCTGGGATTACAGGCTTGAGCCACCGTGCCCGGCCCAATTTTTTTTTTTTTAAAGATGGGTTTTCACCATGCTGGTCAGGCTGGCCTTGAACTCCCAACCTCAGGAGATCTGCCCGCCTTGGCCTTCAAAGTGCTTGGATTACAGGTGTGAGCCACCACGCCCGGCCAATTTAAGGAAAATTTTAAAATGTAAAATTAATCTCTATGTAAAGTCTTTCCATCCTAACATTACAACTGTTATTTTTTTTCCATTTTCCCTTCTAGGCTTTATTCACATTTAATATAATGTAATTTTTTTTTTTTTTTTTTTTTTTACAGAGTTTTACTTTTTTTTTTTTTTAAGGGACTGAGGCCTCACTGTGTTGCCCAGTCTGACCTTGAGCTCTTGGGTTCAAATGATTCTCCTGCCTTGGCCTCTTCAGTAGCTGGCACTACAGGCTGTGCCACCGCACCTGGCTTTATAATGTAATTTTAAGGAAATGAAGCTAAAGTTAAGTCAGATGCAATTTACCATGTGAAGGTAGAGGAGTATTTCAAGTTGAAGGGGTTAGCCATGTTTGGTGTAGCATACCGGTAACTTCTAAAAACTAGTCATTTGTTTTAATTTTGTGATTGTTTTGTTTTTAAACATTAGTTTGATGTCTTCATTCTATAGCCAGATTTTCTTGTTTTCAAGGGAAAATAATCTTGGTTCCATTTTGAAACTAGTGAGGATGCTTAATGAGATGGAAAGAATGGGCTGTGGCATAAGAGACTTGGGTTCAGATTCTTAGTCTGCTGTGTTCATTAGCCCTGAGAGCCTTACTTTCTTCCTCTGTAAAAATGGCAGTTTTTTTTCCCCCAATAGGCTTCTTCTGAGGATTAAAGGAGAGAATGTATGTTAAGTGTTTTGAGTAAAGTGGGCTATCCACTGATACCATCATTAATATCCGATTTTGAATTTTATTTCAGCATTTTATTCAGTGAAACTGATTTGGGAAGGTCTTTTAAAATTCTTTTAAACAATCAAGTCAAGGCAGGCGAAAAAAGCAAGGTGATATGCATATTTTGAATATTGGTAAAAATCTTTCATACCACCTTGATTTCGTAAAGTAGTAGCAAATAGGACTTAGTTACGTCTTATAAAGCAAAACATACCTGTATGTTCTGATAATGTTTTTGCCTAGTTAGCTTGCCTTAATAGTTATACATCTGTTTAGTCAGGAAAGATAGGTGGTGTGGTAGAAACAAGGGCCTTTGCAATGGAATAGACTTGGGTTCAGATACCTGCCTTTTCCACTGAATAGTTGTGTGATAGCCTTTGAAGTTTGTTTTCTTATCCTTGTAGGATTTTTCTGAAAATGAATGGGATAATATGTGTGAGATGCCTCGCACAGTGCTTTTCACATAATCGTTAAGGGTTTCTTTTTCTTTTAACTTAGTATTATACATGGCTCTCCACTTTTTGTAGCCATTTTGACAGTGTTTTTTTGAAGTTTAAGGAATATAAGTTGTTCTATGATGTTTCAGTGCTCCTTATTAATGCCTGAACTTGTAAAGGTAATGCTCCGGAAAAGTAAAATGGGTTCAAGGTTGGTTTTTGCTTTTATCTGATGTATCATTAAGCTCTAAAATGTAAGATGGCCAGGTGCAGTGTCTCATGCCTGTAATCCCAGCACTTTGAGAGGCAGGAGTTCGAGACCAGCTTAGCCAACACGGTGAAACCCCATCTCTACTAAAAATACAAAAAATAGCTGGACACCGTGGGAAGTGCCTGTATTCCCAGCTACTTGGGAGGGCAGAGGCAGGAGAATCTCTTGAACTTGGGAGACAGAGGTTGTAGTGAACTAAGATTATGCCATTGCACTCCAGCCTCGGTGACAGAGTGAGACCCTGCCAAAAAAAAAAAAAAAGTAATATGAGTTATTAACTAATGAGTACTTTTTTATTCATGTCAAAATAGGCGATCATCGTATGTATTTAATGTTATAAATATGCATCATGGGCATTTATAGATCTTGCTGCTAAATCTAATATAATTTGAAAGTTTTGTCCTTTGGAAATTGAGTATCTCAGAAGTGCTTTTAGGTACTTAGAAAGCTCTGTTTTAAAACTAATGATGTCACTTAATTTTTCTTTTTTTTAAGAGGGAGTTTCACTCTTGTTGCCCAGGCTGGAGTGCAATGGCACGATCTTGGCTCACCACAGCCTCCACCTCCAAGGTTCAAGTGATTCTCCTGCCTCAGCCTCCTGAGTAGCTGGGATTACAGGCATGTGTTACCACAGCTGGCTAATTTTGTATTTTTAGTAGAGATGGGGTTTCTCCATGTTGGTCAGGCTGCTCCTGAACTCCCGACCTCAGGTGATCTGCCCTCCTCTGCCTCCCAAAGTGCTGTGATTACAGGTTTGAGCCACTGCACCTAGCCGATGTCACTTAATTTTGAGGGCACAAAAGATATACAGTAAAAAGTCAGTTGTCTTCCCTTTTCTGTCTCCTAGTTACTTGATTCCTCATCCCAGAGGAAACCACTGTTAATCATTTTCTAGTGTATACTTCAAGAGATACCCAAGAAAGATTATTTTGAGTCTGGATTCCAAAGCTGTTGAACACAGTAGTAAAAAAATCTTCTCTGGTATGTTTACACTAAAAGGTAAAAATATACCTTTACAGGGACAAGTTTTTTTAACCTTTAAATTGTCTTTCTGCTATATGTCGGGTCTTGGAAAGATATGGTGATGACCAAAACAAATACAGCCTCTGCCCTTATGGTGCCTAATAGTCTAATAGGGGAGACAGATATTAAATAATTATGGAAAAAAATTGTGGTTACAAACTGTGTTAAATGTCATGAAGGAAAACTCAGGATGCTATGACAGCATGAAGCAGGGACAAGACCTGGAGAGGTGGGGGTGGGTAGAGTGGTCTTTGGGGAAGTGGTTTTTCTTTCTTTTTGAGGTGGACTCTCACTCTGTCGCCAGGCTGGAGTGCAGTGGTGTGATCTCGGCTCACTGCGGCCTCTGCCCCCTGGGTGGTTCTCCTGTCTCAGTATCCTGAGTAGCTGGGATTACAGGTGTGGACCACCATGCCTAGCTAATTTTTGTATTTCTAGTAGGGACAGGGTTTCACCATTTTGGCCAGGATGGTCTCGAGCTCTTGACCTTGTGATCTGCCCACCT